GGGGGGGAGGGGTGGGGGCGGGGGCGGGGCACGGGGATGTGGGGAGGTGATGGTAGGGACGAGCAGCTGACGTCCAGGCTACTATGACATGGTCGCCGCCAGCTGCGCTGCCAGTATGCTGGCTGCCCAACCCCAAACCCCAGCGCATGTGCCGCGGCCGGCCAGCCGCAGCCGCGGCTCCAGACGTGACGAGTGACTCCGTCTGGGGTCGCCTCAAGCCCGCCAAAAAGCCACCCACCGACCATGCACACGCGCGAAACCCTCCAAACACGCCAGTCAAAGTCAGAGGTGTATGCCGCCCGGCCTACCTCCAGCTGCTGTATGCTGGCCGTCAGCTGCGCCTTCTCATCAGTCAACTTCCCGACCTCCAGCCCCGTCAGCCGCCGCAGCGTCAGCCCCAGGACGCCCTCCGCCTGCGCCTCCGATAGCTTGAAGCGGCCGCCGCGCAGCGCCGCGCGCGCGGCCGCCGCGTCGGGGGCCGCGCGGATCGCCTGCGGGTGTTGAGATGGGGTTTTGCTTTGTCAAGTTTTGGTATCAAAAAGCTCGAAAAAAATTTGTCTGGTGGGAACAGGGTTGAGCTCGCCGCTGCCAGCAACCACGAAATCACCCACCACCGACCGACCCCCTCGCATATGCGCTCCAACCGAAGCGCCCCCCCCCCCCCTCCTGACCTGCACCACCGCCTCCAGGTCTTCCAGTGCCGCCAGGAAGCCCTCCACCAGGTGCAGCCGCGCCCGCGCCTTGCCCAGCGTGTGGCGCGCCCGCCGCTCCACCACGCCAACCTTTTTGTCAGGAAACAGGGTCGAAGGGAGACATTTGGTTGAGCTGCCGGGCACACTCAGAGCTGACTTTGAGCGAGGCCCGGCCAACACAGCGAGATTGCAGGCAGATCGCAGCTGGACTGCTGCCAGATCGCTGCCAGGTCACAGTCAGATCACAGCCACCGAGCGCTCACCCTGAAATCGAGGAAGTGCTGCAGGAAGGCCTTAAGGTCCAGCGTCTGAGGAACACCGTCCACCAGGGCCACCTGGTTGATTGAATGGGATGAGGTGAGCCCAGATCGAGCTGCGGCATGCCGCGGTACGAGGGCAGCGGCGTGGCCAGGGAGGGCGGGCGCCCGCCGCTCCCGGCGCAGCAACGCTGCGCCGCACCACGTGCTGCGCTGCCCGCCCTCCAGGCGGCAGCCCAACCCTTGGATTCTTGTTTGCAGGTTCCACCAAGTCGGCGTTCAGCAAACCACAAACCAGGACCCAAGGCACTGCGCCCGCGTCCGACCCCACACCGTCGCCGCCCGCCGAGCTGCGCGGTTTGCCCCCATGCAACATGCAAGGAGACACCGTTGCCACGCCAACACCAAAACAAACACCCCACAACGCCACGTCAACCCAACGCCACACCAATTTCGACACCACAACACTCCCACCACAACCTCGCCTCCTGTCACGCCCCCGCCCCCCGGCCCACCATGTTGCATGAGAACCGTATCTGCAGCCGCGTGTGCTTGAGCAGCTGGTTCAGCACCACGCGCGCCTCAAAGCCACGCTTGACCTCCACCACGAGCCGCACGCCTGGGCAGTGGCAGCCGCACGGCCGCGGCCCGGGCGCGGGGCAGGGGGAAATGGGTTGGTGCGTGCCAGCAGGGACCCGGCGGCCGGCGCGGGGGTTGCCCAGGGGGGAGCAGGGGTGGAGCTTCACAGCTCCCCGATGGAGACGGTGTCTGCGGCTCTATACACGGAGCGATTTCCTCTCCCCAATGGGGCTGTTGGCATGTGCGCAGCGCAACATACCAGACCCCAAATCAGCGCAAAGCGGGGCGTCGTGGCGCTTGCAACAAACCCCCACGTCGCACACCGCCGCCCCTGCCTTTCAAAAAGTACGCGTCGCGTCCTGTAGCCAGCCGCGACCGCTCCCATGACGTGATCAATGCCAAGGCAAGTCTCGCACGCCAGATCTGTGAGATCAGCGGAGATCTCACAGGATCTCTTCCAGATCTCACCCGTCCTGTCGCTCTCGTCCCGCACGTCGGCAACGCCCTCGATGGTCTTGGCCTCCACCAGCTCAGCAATCTTAGCCGCCAGCTCAGCCTGGGTGGTTGCGGGTGGTTGCGGCGAGCGGTCGACAGGGTGGTTCAGCATTTTATGCTTTGGTCCGGCGCGTGGTGTTGCCGGTCATAGGTTTGGCAGGCGGTTGAGGCACGTCGAGAGTGGGTGGCTTTCAGAGACGCGCCGGTGGTGCGATGTGGGACGGCGATTGAGGTGAGCGTGGGTGGGGTCGCTTTCAGCGCACCGCACAGTCCTCAGGGGCCGCAGATGGAAAGCACTCGTCATGACAACCACACTCACTAACTTGCAAGGTTATGGATACACATTCAAACGCCTGAAAACAATCTTGATGGAAGCCCTGAAGCCCCAACCCCTCACCTTGTTGACTTGGTAAGGCACCTCAGTCACAACAATCAGCTGCCGCCCGCCACCCGCTTCTCCAGTGCCGTTGCTCGCCGCCGCCGCCTCCGCCTCCTCCTCCGCGGCCGCCGCCGCGGCGG